AAGGGATACAGGTGTGCTGTTTTGAAGGGACACATGCACCCCAATGTTTATAGCAGCACTATCAATAATAGCAAAGTATGGAAAGAGCCCAAATGTCCATCGATGGATGAATGGATAAAGATGATGTGGTATATATATACAATGAAGTATTACTCGGCAATCAAAAAGAATGAAATCTTGCCATTTGCAACTACGTGGATGGAACTGGAGGGTATTATGCTAAGTGAAATTAGTCAGAGAAAGACAAAAATCATATGACTTCACTCATATGAGGACTTTAAGAGACAAAACAGATGAACATAATGGAAGGGAAGCAAAAGTAATATAAAAACAGAGAGGGGGACAAAGCATAAGATTCTTAAATATAGAGAACAAACAGAGGTTTGCTGGAGGGGTTGTGGGAGGGGGGATGGGATAAATGGGTAAAGGGCTTAAATCTACTCCTGAAATCATTGTTGCACCATGTGCTAACTGTAAATTATAAAAAATAAATTATAGAAAAAAAAACTTTGAAGGTCATTTAATTCCAAGAGAACATTCTAGGCCAAAATGCACACATACATGTATATTCTTCTTGGGAAAACTGGGATTATGACATCACTTGCTCTCTCACCCAAGGCTACAGGAAGCTTTTCATCGCCTCATGCTCACCAAAAGGTACTACACTTTTCTTCAGGAAGGGCTTGAGCCTTTGTTAAATTTGTTCCGAGGTATTTTACAGTTTTTCTTCCCATTTTCAGTAGCTGATCTTCCCCATTTCCCTTTCTCAGTATGCTCAGTGCCCTCAATTAATGTGAGCAGTTCTCTGTGTGGCCACAAGTCTCTCTGCCCCTGACTCGATTCCTCTTGCTCAAACCATCTTCCTCTTCCTGGCGGCGAGGTCCCTTTGGAGGAATGGTTATTATTCTTGGTTAGCACACCTGGGCTGGGCTGTGCTGTGCTATGCTCTGCTTTGCTTTCTAAAGTGATAGCTGGTCCCCTCTGTGGAAGGTGAAGTGGTTCTCCAGGTGAGTGGGGAACACAAACCTTCACCCAGCCCTCCTTGGCAGTCTCTTCCAGCCCCAGGAGCAGGAAAAGATCCCAAGGACCAGGGCATCTGGTTAGCCTTGCATGCACTGACAGCCACCTTCCCCACTGAAAGCCAAAAGACTTCTGAAGGCCCAGGTGTTGTCCAAGATGCTCTGCATTGTACGACTCACCTCAGGGCTCTCTGATGCTGTTCTCCAGTGCCAGCAGCCCATGTCAGGAAGCTGTGCCAGTGCTCTCCAAGGACCCAGATGGACCGAAGGTCTGCTCCAGATGCAAGGAGACCTAGGCACCAGTGGCCACTTGGCTCAGGCATGTGAGGTTAAAGGGTGAAAGGGTTTGCATGCAGGCCACCATTTCCCCGAGTCCCCTGCTTCTCTGAATCAGAATTTGAAGGTGAAAAGGTTTTGCTGATGACAAGATCCCTCCCATTAATTTAATATTTTGAGTAGACTAAAAGCCAGAGAAGCTGATCAGTTTTCTTACTCAATGGGCATGGCAGACTGGGTGAGGGTAGCCCAAACTGTCTCTCCCTGAACCACTGGGAAGTCTTCCTGAAAAGCATTTACCTCCAGATCAGTCCCTGACCAACACCACCCTGGGTTTCTTCCTACTGTGCAGAACTACAAATCATGCAAGCAACCTCTTCTCTATATTAAGCATTTCTAAAAGAATCAGTACAATAACATTTCTCCAGAACTATTATAAATGTCCTTCAATTATGACAGCCTACAAAGCAGGGTCAGTGAAAGACCTCAAATAAGCACTGCTCTTCTCAGAGGTGAAGCCCCTTGAATAGAAGGAATGTTAAAATATAGATCAAACTATGCTATGGTAACACAATTTCTTTTGATGCAGTTTGTGTGGTGACCTAAGACACCTTTAGTATTCATAGGTGAGAGCCAAATCTTATTGTTCTCTAGCAAAGCAATAATGGCAGCAGTAACCTGGGAAAATGATTTCACCCAATCATTTTCTGCGAATCATCAATAATGCTAGAATTCAGTTTTCCTCTTTGGGTAAAAATATGGTGAGACTGCCCACTCTGACCATCACCCCCATACCACACAAGCTGGACCCCACAATGGCCACTGCAGAGTCATGGTTTGCATTCTGTTTCTGCAGTGCCCCTGAAGTGGTGACATTCCCATTTTAAGGATGAAGAGACTGAGTGTCTGAGGGTGTTAAGTCAGTAAGTCAGTGCCCAAAGACCTGCAGGTAGAAGTCAGGAAACCTGCTCCAAAACTAAAGTAACTCTCACTTTCCAACATTAGATTATTAGCAGGGGGAAATGCTGAAAAATGGGAATTGCTAAATTGTACATGTTTTTGCCAGTTTTATTTAGAAAACAAACAAAACATTTCTCTTCTTTGGGTGGGACATGGAGCAGGATACAACTGGTTACATACACAGTGTCGTCCATCACCTCACAAACATACAAAGATAAGAAGCATGCCCCTTCTGACAAACTGAATCAGCCAGAAGGTTCCTACCACATCAGTACTAAATCACTGTTGTACAGCTGAGCCCACCCCATGAGGCAGATGACTATCACAGGTCCCCAGTGGACCTCTTACCTCTGGTCCAATTTTAAATATGAATATTGATCACTTAGGGCCTTTGCTGCAGTCTACTGAGACGAGGGAATGATGGACTCTTCCGTCAATTCTCCCTAGTGATTTCAGATTCAAAGAACTTGTGAATAGGAACAGAAAATTACTTTAATGTTTCTGGATTTCTGCTTATGTTTTTAACAATCTAAATGCAACTGAATTAGATTTATGGTTTTGGCTTTAGCAATGTGTTATTATCCTTATCACTCGTGTTATCAGTAGTATTTATTTTTCCAAAATATGCCAGATAGTGTATTAGCACTAAAATGACTGGAAATTATTTCTGTAGACATTTTATTCCTTAACCCTGGAATCATATGTCATGAAACCCACTGGGAAAAAAAATTTTTTTTTTCCTTAAGTAGGCTTCACATGGATGACAGAATGTGCACATGAAATCACAATGACTCTTGGAATGTGCCTGGTGGGGGAAGGGTCAGATCACCTACTGCAGCCTGCCTATGGATGTCCTAGCAAATGACCAAGGACACATTAGAAGGCAGCACCGAACAACGAGAAGATTCAAATCAACATGAGAAAAAACAAGCTGACTCTTTTCTCCTTCCTGCAAAGTGCCAAATTCCAATCTGGTGAAATGGCTTCCAGGTCCCCACTGCTAAAGTGGACAGGACAACACACAAACACTGAGCAAAACCTGATTCTGTGGGAGCTGCCTGACCACTCTGGCCAGCCATCGCTCTTCTCCCCCTCCAAAATGCACACAGTGCCACCCACATGTGGACAAGCCAGATAACACCACTCCTCTTGGAGTCCCCAATGATGTAAACTAAGCCTAGTTTAGTGTGGAAAGGTCAGTCCTGCAGCCCACTCTGGAACATTCCCTGAGGCTTCCCACCTGTCCTAATTAGATCCACTTTATTTCAAACACCAATACTCAACAGTAATGATGTTAACCATCTATTTCTTATTTACTTTTTTGTTGTTGTTGTTTTTCAGTTTTGTTACTAGTATTTCAACAACACCAGAGACTGTGTTTTTACAGAGGTAAAATCAACGCATTTAATATATTCTTATATTCTTATAACCAGCTGACTGCACTATCCTTATGTTTACCTGATTAGAGCTTCAGCCGCAGGCCAAGAGTTTGGTGAGTCACTCTGGGTGAAGGGAAAATATGTTTCCTTTTAGGTAACTAACTTGAAGAAAAGCCTTTGGCATGACAGTGCACAATTTCCCCAGGGAGATGGGGCTGTATTAGTGGATTCATCCCATGTGTGCTCGCCCACACGTTGTCATGTACACACTGGGATTTGAGGAGGCTACTCAGCCAGCAGCTCCCCAGACCTCCAAACAGGAGCCCACGCACAGCGGATGGGGCTGTCTCAGTGCCCCTCAGTGGTACCTGGGCACAAAGCATGAGGCAAGTGAGCTGAGAAGAGCCCAGGGCAGGACTATGCCCTCAAGCTAAGCCTCCAAGTTGGCACTTGCAGCTGCACAGCCATCATGTCTCTGAGCCTCGGTTGTCCCTATCTGTAAAATGAGGACAAAAGTTACTGTTGCCAGCATCATGGGTGATGGAGAGTGGATGTGTTAATGTGGGTAATGCAGCATTAAACTCTCTTCTGTACTTAGGGCGGCTGTGAATGCATCTCAGGTGCAAGCTTCTGGGGAAAGGTACAACCACTCAGCCTTGAAATGCTGACTCTTATTCACATCCTAGGGAAGCCAATGCCTGGGTCTCAATTTGCTCATTTTGGTAAAATGCTCCATCTGGCATGGAACAGCTTGCTTTACAAAAAAAAAAAACAAAAAAAACAAAAAAAAACACTTTCCAGCTCTATACAGCACCCTGGCCCTGACACTACTGGACTTAACGTTTACCTGGCCAGCTTTTCTTTCCTACCATTGAGCAGGAAGGGCATCACAGTCCACCATAGGAAATCCCCCACACTAATCTCTGAAGCCTGAGGTGTCTGCCAGAGCATAAAAGCCACTGTAGTGGCAAATCTCCTCTGTTATGGATTCACCACATTGCTAACTGATCCAGGTTGGTGAGCAGCTAGCCTCATGCCCTGGGCCAAAAGCTGACAGAACCTCCCAGTATTCCAAAGGGAAGGATCTCATCTACATTTTTATGTCAACAAAGGAAACATGTGCTCCACATGATGAGAGCATGTGGCCTACTTAGGTTCAGTACCGTATACAAAGCCATCTTTGTTCACCAGAGAGACTTTTAAAATTATTTTCCTGTTTTAAGTCAGTAAAATGTTGCTTTTGGGCCAACATGTTATTTGGAAACTCTCCGTCTGGATGCTTTTCTTCTTAGAACAGAACAGAAATTGGGCAAAGTGCACTGTGGAAACACTGGCGTATGCCCATCCCCACAGTACAGACTGTGTTGTCTTAACATCGCAAACACAGAGTTGGGCTTTCCTCTCTGAAAACTGAGATGAATATGTTGATAAATGTCGAGGCAGATTCTCCAGGCCTGAGAGCCTCCCTCACTGCAACCTGGACTATGTAGACAGTCTGTTGGGTCAGGTCAATAGCATCATGAATCTGTTTTCTATGGCTGCAGTAACAGATTGCCACTAACTCAGTAGCTTAAAACCATACAAATTTACTATCTTCTAGTTCCAGAGATCAGAATCCCAATATAGGTCTCACTGAGCTAAAATCAAGGTGTCAGCAAGGCTGTGTCTGTTTCTGAAGATTATAGGAGAGAATCTGTTTCCTTGCCTTTACTAGTTTTTAAAGGCCTCCCACATTCCTTGGCTCATGGCCTCTTCTTCCATCTTCAAAGCCAACAATGGAGGCCAAGTCTTTTCTACTGAGGTGCCATCTTTCTGGTTCTCTTTCTGATTTTTTTTTTTAACGTTTTTTATTTATTTTTGAGAGAGAGAGAGAGAGAGAGAGAGAGAGAGAGAGAGAGAGAGAGAGAGAGAATGAGTGGGGGAGGGGCAGAGAGAGGGGAAGACACAGAATCTGAAGCAGCTCCTGGCTCTGAGCTGTTAGCATAGAGCCCAATGTGGGGCTCAAACTCACGAACCATGAGAATGTGACCTGAGCTGAAGTCTGACAGCTCAACCAACTGAGCCAGCCAGGTGCGCCCTTTCTGATACTTTCTTCTACTTCATGGACCCCTGTGATTACACTGGGCTCACTAAAAATCTAAAATAATCTCATTTTAAGGACATGTGATTTTCACCACTTCAATTCTACTTTGCCTTGTAACCTAAAATGTTTACAGGTTCTGAGGATTAAGTGACAGACATCTTTGGGGAGGTCATTATTCTCCCTGAAATGAATCATAGCCAAAAATTTGGTACATACAACTGCATTTTACATATGAGGAAAGTGGGGTGTGCCATTTTTGGGATTTTACCCAGAACTCAATTTCCATCTGGTGCCTACATGACCAAGGAATCTTAGTGAGGTGGGATAATTCCTGATAAGGCAAGCCAAGTCTCAGCAATACATCTGCATCTGACACCCCGGACAAAGCAATCTCAGGGGTGTGAGGGGAAGCAAATCATTAGTAAGGAGGTAACTGGCTAGTGACACTGTGGCCCGTGTTGGTCTCTCTTCTAGATTCTCAGATAGGTCTACCACATTATTGCCTCTTCACCAGCTAGGCTCCTTCCTTCTTTCATTCATTAATTTATCAAGTGTCTGTTGGTTCTGCTGGGCACATGCTAGGTGCTAAGGACACATGAGGTGCTAAGAAAGCTGGGTGCCAATG